AAAAACCAACTACTTGAAGTTTTACAGACAGAAACATTTGAAAAAGTGTGTGCCCTTGAACGTATTGCTGGAAAGTATGGACACACCATACTGAGACTTCCCCCCTATTTTGGTGTTTTCAATCCCATCGAGTTGATTCGGGGAACAAAGCATCAGACGTAAGAAAATTTTTCCAAAATTTCATGGGAAGGTAATAGAGCTAATTGAAGAAGAATTATCTAATATTACCGAAGAAGACTGACAGAAAATGATTAAAAAAGTAATTTTAGTTGAAAACGACTATATGGAAAATGGATACTTCCTAAATAATGGTGGAAATGAATTCATTTCTGATTTTAATGACGACAGTGATAGTGAAACAGAGAATATAGAAGAGGAATTATCAGAAGCTTTCGAAGAAAGTTAGTGAAGTGTTTTTGAAGAGATCTATAGGGTTTATATAGGGTCTTTCACGACGAGCGTTCGTTAGGAATATATGGAGAACGATTCAAAATGAAAACTTGAAATTTTGTGGTGGTGGGTTTTACAAAATGGCCTTCTCCACTAAAATATTTTCAACTTCCGGTCTCTTTCCGTTATACCGGAAGTTGAGGATTTCCGTATTGTCTACAACCCTCTTTCTATTGTATATCAACGACTCATTGGAGAAAAAAAACAAGAATCCAATATATTGCTCTACTGACGAGAGCACACTTGTCTCGTTATTCCATTTGGATTCCAGATCATCGGCTATGGAGACGAATACAAACGTTGAAACCATATATAATACACTGTGAAAATTTTGTGATGAGAAAGAAATTCCACTGAAGAATGACAGAACGTCACAAAGAATTCATAGCGTACTTGAAATATAAAATTCCAGATGTGCTCGCTGTACATGGCGTCATTCATAGGCAACATTTGGTTGCGAAAAATTTGATTGAGCGCCTCTCTCAATTACTGCAATATATCATCAAACCAGTCAATAAAATAGGAAACAGCTCTTTGAATGACAGATTATTTAATTAGCTTTGTGTTGCTAATAATGAGGATTCCAACCGATTTTACAATCTATTTGACTCTGCAATAGAGTTCCTGGAAAACAAAGACAAAGAATTGCACGACAACCTCATCACTTCAAAGAATGATATTGTGTTCTTGACAGACCTGTATAAATTATTCAATGATGTGAATCTACAACTTCAAGGTGACGACTTGAATATTGGCATACGTGAGTTTAGCAATTTCCCTAATTTTTCAGCAGTATACTTCAACTACGACGACTTGCTTGTTTACTGCCAACATTTGGAATACCTCCACAGTGACTTCGCAGAACGATTCCAGGACATTTTAAAATTGGAAATATCGGACTGGGTGTCGGATCCTTTTTCAAATGTCAACACAGCAGGATCACCCCAGTTGGAAGAAGAACTCATAGAACTGTTAATGAACGAGGAAATAAAAATAATATTCAAAATTGGATACAAAGAATTTCGGCTACAAAAGCCAATCCCGCAATTGTTCCCTGAATTATGGTCCATCGTTCAACGATTTTTGATAGCATCCCCATCATCGTATTTGTGTGAACGTGGATTTAGTACTGTGGCAATGTTGCTAAAAAGAGAAATCGGTTGCAGATTACCGAACGCGGTGACTTACGGCTGTTTTTGAGTAAATTCGATCAACAAACTTGTTAAAAATCATCAAATTCATCCTTCACATTAGATTAGTTTTAAAATTCAAATTGAAATGTTTGTTTTTAATAACATGAATAATATTACACAATGGTGTTTTACATAAAGAAAGACTCAATAGCAAACGACAATAATATGGAAAACCCACCCTTTAACCCTCAAATGCAGGAAAAATCCCAAACTCTCGAGAAACTAGAAGACTTCATCAGCGAATATGGAACAGCACATAAAAGAGAGAAAAGAGACTTTCCTTGTAACTAACAGGAAAGCAACAAATATCGGAACAGAATTTGACACAATGTGGGTAATAGAGGATAAGGAATTTGACTCAGCAAATATGGCTGTCACCTACAAGCCAAAAGAAAGTGATCAACTTTTATACTAAAATAGATGACCCATAAGACCAAAGAGAAAGGTTGAAGTTAGCTGAGAAACACTGCGAGTATTTACTACCATCAAAACCCTCTCCGGAGGGGAACGCAGCAACTTTTGATGCTTTATAAAGCTCTACTGTTCTAATGTTTGGAACCCCGCCCCTAAGCATACCCTGAAGCTGCAGGATTCCATCCAGAAAAGAGTCATCCGCCTGATTAGAGACGCGAAATTCACTCGCAACCTTGATAGTCTGGAACATCGAAGAATAGTTGGGGATTTATCTCCCTTCTATAGATACTTTCACGGAAAGTGTTCAAGTGACTTGGTACATTTGATTCCACTAAGAGCGATACATATCAGAAATTCGCGATGGACTGTGGCTGCTCATAGTTTTGAGGTTCAACTCAGTACACCTCGAACTTCACTCTTCAACAACTCTTTCATTTGCAGAACTGTGGCACCGCTCTTAAAGATTTTTCTGTACTGCTTGTGCTTTGTCCTAAAAAAAAGAACCTTATATTCTTACCACAGAACGGGGAAAAATAGAGAAGAACAATGTCACGAGATTTTACAGGCCCTAGCCAAACAAAATGGCCACACTGAATGAACATTGAAAAAAAGTAGAAAAACAGATAGAAGAAAAGAGGAAAAGTTCATGGATCAAAATACCGCCTTTGTGGATATAGGCCCACCAAGACAGTCCTGAAAAGTAAACTGGGGATAATTCTAATGCTGAAAGGAGCTCGGAGGCAGATAAGACATTAGAAAATACAACACGAAAGGTTAACTATGACATAATAACCAAAGGAACGATGCTGGGACTACGGAGAGGATATGCAGGTCGTAGATGGAAGCATCCTACACCGTTTGGATGCCGGAGAGACGTATACTTACTTCGGGGTGGAACCACGCCACTCACAAGAGGTAACAGCAGGGAAGAACTCTCTTCGCGGCAAGTATCAGCCCAAACTTCGACAGATCTGGTCATTGGAACTGTCGAGGAAGAACAAAGTTGCTACAACAAATATGATTGCCGTTCCAATCTTACTCTACTCGTTTGGAGTAGTGAAGTGGACTCGAGAGGAGCTGTATCAACTCGACGTAAAGACCCGAAAAATAATGCATCTCTATAGGAATTTGCATTCCAAAATGTCCGTTCCACGGTTGTACTTCCCCCGACAAAAAGGAGGCCGTGGACTTTTGAGTTTGGAGTGTCTACATGACAGAATGGTCTGAATACAGCTTGTAAAGTCGTAAGGAGTTCGGATCCCCTTTTCTGCATGGTCCGTGAACATGAGAGAGCAGGAATTGAAGCATTTCTTTTTCGGGCAGCTGCCGGAGCAGCTGAGGAACTCGGTCATATAAAAGCCGCAGAGATCACCTCACTTCTGCGGAAACACAAGGATAAGCCAAAGCATGTGGTCTTCTTCAATAACATTGGAGATATGGCTTATGAAAGCGCTTGACTTTCGCTTTCCTCAGGTCGACTGGACTGAAGTCGGAAACTGACGGGTTCATCATGGTTTGCCAGGATGGTGTCTACAACACCTTAGTCTACCGCAGTCGCGTGATGGGTATAGAGGTTCCTGACACAAGGTGCAGGGCCTGCCGCGAGGCGCCCGAGACCCTAATGCATGTCCAGCCTATGCGGTCTTGACCTATATCTATCGATATAACGCGACCCTAAGAGTGATATACTTCCATCTACGGCACTCTTACGGTAATGACGAGACACCGGTGTTGCCCTACGCTCCGGAGTATATTGAATCCGTTGTAGGAACTATTCGTTTCCCATCCTCAGGCTCATACAAACTAATAAGCCTGATGTAGTCCTTCTTGACCACCAGAACAAGACGATATTTGTCGTGGAGTTTTCAGCTCCTGGTGAAACGAATATCGTCCTAAAAGAGGAGGAAAAATGGATAAAATATTGAGTTTTAATTCTTCGAACTCCGCAAACTCAATCCAGACCACTCTGTCACTCTACTCTCGAATCTTAAAATCATACCGGCTTGCCGCACTAAGGCAGAAATCTTAGCCGGACATTTGCAGAAGGCTGTCACTGCGCTTGCTCAGGGTACATGATTCTTGAATCTAATGATCATTTACCACACAGTGTGGGGAGTGGTCATTGGTTGATAATGCTGGCGCGCCCTCCCGGATATATCGGGGCATCGGGGATGGAGCCTGACCAACGCATACTACGGTTAAATAATAATAATGGTCTTCATCGACTGAAATAGTATATAACATCCAAGAGGCGAAGAAAATGTTAATTTTCCTTCCACTTCCAGATCAGTGGGATCTGGAATATACTTTTCAAACTACACAATAACTAATGTTGATATTTTGGAGGAATCCGATCAGTTTTAATTATTATGTTCAATCTTAATATAAATAGCATTAAAAAATAGCGAGTACTCTTGTTGTGTTCAATACAAATATAAATGAAATGTTTATAATTTTTCATTATTTATCGGGTGTAGAAAAAATAGCGTAGGTATGCAACTCTCATGTAATGGTTACACTCACATAAACCATACGAAAGTCGCCTTCGGCTCGTTTCGTATCCCGATTAATGCTCGTGTATTAATAACCATCATCACGAGTACATAATCGTTGCGAAGTATACTATTGTTACTGCTAGAAAATATTTTGTGTTGATAAATTGAACGTAATCGATCGTGATATCTATGTTGACCTACTTAAAACATTGTATTGTTGCCAGTAGTCTAATCAACAAGTTCAAAAACATGAAAAATAAAGATAAAGGTAAAAATTTGTGCGATAGCTCATTCGAAATCACTTCTAGAAAAATGTTTTTGAATGATTTTGGTGCAGGTAAAAATTGCAATTGTTATTAACAAAATAAGATTTTAAAAAAATGGTATTTAGTTTTTCGTTAGTAACTCAAAAAATATTAATATTCAAGCAATTTTGAAAAAAGCTCGTTACTTCCTATCATAGAACAATGAATTCACTATTTTTCAACGGTTTCTTGGAGTTCAATAACGTCCTTCCTCAATATGATGTTATTTAGTTTCATGTTCGTAAGTATCTACAGATTGTCATAGTCATTGTAGCTGCTTTAAGCAGCACAACTCTTTAAGTTTTAACCCCTAGTATGTTGAAATTTTTTCTATTTTAAAAATATAATCACAGAGGTTATTCGCTGTTGCTGTTATAAATTCAAGCATTTGGATTGGTAGAAAAGTTATAGCGACGTTTGGCAACATTTTCTTTAGATTCAATTTCAAATGATCATGGTCATGGTCAGGAATTGTAGCAAAAATGCGTAGCAGTTCTATACATAGTAGAACTGAAAAAATGTGAAAACGATTAAAATGAAACTTTTTTGCGTTGCATAATATGAAATATTTTCGAACAATCCATATGAAAGATGAGGATTGAAATTTTCTATGATTTCATACTTGTATTTGTAATTTACGTTACTGCAGTTTTGTCCAACAAGGACATTTTCAAACGAATACAATAAAGTGAAATAATGTTATATCTATACACCACCGCAGGTAATAACAGACGCTCCTGAATGACTTCATTACCTGAATTTTGTTTACCTGTGACAACGTGGATACAATAATCTGAAAACCGGCGTGTAGACCAGGTCGATTTGGTCATTTGGTAGGTTACATCTGCAATGCTAATGCTTATGAATTTTCAAGGATTCCAAATGATTGAGTTTCTAACCCTTGCTTGCATAGTGCAAAATTTACATATCGTTTAGATTCTGGAACTTGTGGTTGCATTGCAAGGAAAGGTTTGAAAACTTCGAATCATTTCCACCCAGTCTAAATGACCTTTCATGTTCAGCATACCGTTTTGAGAAATTTTGGCTACACTGTTCCACAAAAACACTATTATATTCCGAACACCTAAGCTTATACACTCCAGATTTCTCCATCTTGTCCAGTTTATCTTCGGAAATGAAATGAAAATTAGATAACCTGGCATGTGGCCTAAATGACCCAATCGATATGATCTACTCGCCGGTTTTCAGATTAGCATATCCACATTGTCACAGGTAAACAAAATTCAGGTAATGAAGACATTGAAGTCCGTCTGCTATTACCTGAAGTGATGTATAGATATATACCAATTCAATGCCACAAAAACCCAGGCATCGGTTTTCTCCAAGAAGATAAATGTTTCCGAACCAGATAGAATAATGTCAGGTCAGACAATTTCGCTTTCTGCTTCGATAAGTTCGTTCGGAGTTAAAATAGACACCAATGTCTTGGAACAGTCATGCCGCTGGAATTGCAAAGGGTGCTTCTCAAAATTTTGGAACATTGTCCGAACGAGAAAACTGTACACACCTCAGCAAATTTTGATGCTTTATAAAGCTCAGATCACACCTTCTTTGGAGTATTGTTCTCATGTATGGAGCTCTGCCCCCAAACATACCTTGAAGCTGCTGGATTCCATCCAGAAAAGAGCCATCCGCCTGATTGGAGACGAGAACATCACTTGCAACGTTGATAGTCTAGAACTTCGAAGAAAAGTTGGAGATTTATCTCTCTTCAATAAAAACTTTCACGGAAAGTGTTCAAGTGACTTGGCACCTTTGATTCCACCAAGAGCGGTACATATCAGAAATACGCGACGGACTGTGGCTGCTCATCGTTATGTCGTTATGAAGTTCAACTCATTACACCTCGAACTTCACTCTTTAAGAATTATTCCATTTGGAGAACGGCGTTTATGTGGAATAAACATCCGGTATTGTGGCAAAATAATTCATATCTTTTGCATCACGATAATACACTTGCTCACTAGGCATTGCTTGTTCATAATTTATTGGGAACTTTCACGTCTCCCTATGTACTGTAGAAATTTCCAAGAGTTATTTATTTCATTTTTAAGGTACCTATTCATATTTTTCCATATTTCCATTGCTCTGAGCGTTTTCTACAATGAACTTCGAATGAAAAATCCTTTTATGATTATCTGAAACATATCTTCAACAAAAATATAACATATGTGTTTTGATGAGCAGAAAAATAAATGATAACATCCGAAACGAACACTATAACTGTAATACAAACTGAAATGAAGTAATTTATATACACAAAAAAATTAATGACGCAATAAATGTTCGAATTGGAATCCTTCCATTTCGAAACAAATAATGGGCCAATTAGATGGCCTGCAAGATCACCAGATCTTACTATTTTGGACTATTTTCTTTGGTGGACATTGAAAAATAGGATTTACACTGGCAGAGAGATAGAAAATGTGGAAGACTCGAGATTGAGGATTTTGAATGATTTCGCAACAATGCAGCAAGTAAGTGTATTGACGGCAATAAATAATATGAAAAACCGAGTTTAAAAATATCTCGAAATGGACGGACTCCAATTCGAACATTTATTGCGCCATTAATTTTTACAATTATAGTGTTCGTTTCGGATGTTATTATTGCTATCGTTTCTTTTTCTGCTTATTAAAACACATATAATATATTTTTGATGTAAATATGTTTCAAATAATCATAAAAGGTTTACTTATTAGAAGTTCATCGTAGAAAACGCTCAGGACAATGGAAAAAATATGAATAGGTACCTAAAAATGAAAAAAAAAACTTTCGAAAAAATCTATGGTACATAGGGAGACGTGGAAGTTACTATTGTGTTTTTATTTAACTCAGTCAACCAATTTCCAGGGCCGTAATTTAAAAAAGAATAATTCACATAATTATAATCAAATATTACAGAAACATCTCGAAATATATAATTTAATTTAATTTCTCAGTATGAAGTGAACGTCGACGATACAAAAACTACAACACAAAATACAGGTCCGTGTTTAAAAATTCAAAGATGGAGGTGGCCCAAGTCAAATGACACCGTGTATAAAAGATTCATGGACATATTCTGATAGCCCACATCAAGTGCCAACAACAAAATGTGGGATTTTTTGGTTTTTCCTGTATATCTCCAGAACCAAAAGAGCTACATTCGATTTTTCACATAATTGTATAGGTCTCTAAAATACGCAACTTTGCCACAATTTACCCGACACTCTATCTCTTATCGTTTACGAGATCCCCATGTACAGAAACAAATTTGAATAGCCCTGTATTATCTCTTCTTGGTAAAATCCCCAAAAGTCTTGCTAAAGACCAATCAACCCTCTTCTTATTATATACACTTCTAGCAATATGACATCACCCACTTGAATAGGCGACTTTTCTCGCGAAGCTAAATTCACTAAATCTGCCAAATGTTTGTCCTTGAAGCATATTCTGTAGTTTAGACTGAATCGTTGACGGCATCTCTTTGTCTTTATATCAAATATTTTCTATCGATCAATTGTATCTCAATCAGACATTCTATTATTCGGAAGTGCGTGTAAAAAACATTATGGAGAAAGGGCTTCACCTAAATTCCGTCTAATGAGGCCCTTCACGATCCTTTCAATCCGCTCCCATCATCCCCTCACCAGGCGGCTGTGGTAGGACTGAAAATCCATTTAATTTTCCTTTCCGAGAAAAATTTCAAAATTTCATCCCAATAAGTATTTTTCAAGCGCTGATTCCATTCAGCAAAGGACGTGCTATCATCTGAATATATTGTTGAGATTCTCCCTCTGCGAGCAATAAACCTTCGAAATGCAAGAATAAAAACCCGTGGACATTGACGTGATCAGTTCGAAGTAAACCGCTCTGTATAATAAAGTAAATAAGGGCGATATAATTCGTCCGCTGCAAAGAATAATTCCCTTGGAACTATCCGCAAATGAAATCATCGAGTTATCTAACGGAAATAATGAAACACGAAGACGCACACAGACTACTGAAAGTGATCCAGAAGATGAAAAGAAATCAGCGATAATGAATTTGCGAAAGGTGGGAGAGGGTTGGAAATGGAAATTGTTCATCCTTTATGCAGCCTTTAAGCTAAGCGATTGTCATGTTAATGTTTTTGTTATAACAGAGATTTTTCAGAATCGTTAAAAATAATGTTTGAATTGGTAAAGAACCTTTTTAGAAAAAAATGTTAAGAAAAAGGTCATTAGTATTCGAATCACTCCTAAGTTTTTACCATTTCTCAAATCATTCAATAGACAATAAGATATGGAGCATCCGTAGTACGACCTACTGAAGACAAATAAAATTTTACATGGTCACCCTTGAATTTTTTTTAACTATCGTCGGTTTTTGATTCTCCTTCAAGTAATTCATGGATCCTCCGGGAGAAGGAAATATCAACACCAGATAGTTGTTCGTTCGCAGATAGGTCAAAAACACGTTCAGACTCTGGTGTGGGTATTTTCAGTTGCGAGTGTATTTCAAGCGGAAATCTATGTTATTGAATTATGTGCGGAGAGATTGACAAAATCTAACCTCACACACATAAGCAAAATTTTCTCGGGCAGTCAAGCGGCGTTGGAAGTTCTTGGCTCCTACCGAGCAACGTCTAAATTGGTAGAAAATTGCCAAAAACGACTCTACTCGATGGAAAGACTTAACATATTGTCTCTGGTCTAGATTCCTGGCCATACAAAGGAGGGTGCTGCAAGCAGCTCCATCGGACCAGAACCTGTCATTGGCATCGCTTTAGGTTTTGCCAAACAAACATTGAACACCTGGATGGCAAGAAGATTTATTTATGGACTTCTGGTAGAACCTTCCAGGATTGGCTAACTCCAAGGTGTTTATTCCCCTTTCGAAGCTTGATACCAATAAGTTGTTGGACTTCAGTAGGGATGAACTACGATGTCTAACAGGCCTTCTTACAGGTCACTGTCAATCGAATCATCATATACACAGACTAGGTTTGTCGGAAGACACATGTGTCGCCTCTGTTTGGAAAATGATGAAACAGCAGAGCACATACTTTGTGCCTGCCCCACTGTGGACCGAATCAGGTTTTCAGAGTTTCGCAGAACCACACTCTTACCATCTGACCTGAAAGATCACTCACCATATGAGCAAA